TTTTTCCTTCATTTTTCTTTTCCTTCACCTGATTTTATCATTTCAAATATTCTAAAAGTGTACAAAATTTCCAAAATATCAAAGGGCAAAAGACTCATCTTTCTTTTTTTCTGTATTTTCCAATAATCCTCAGTACTTGATTATGAAAACGCATGGCTTCTATTTTCCTGATGTTCTCGATATGTTTGCTCCTCTATCTCTGAGTACCAATGCAACATCAAGTTATTCTTTGGATGTAACTGGCAAATAATTTCTGGTTTCCCCCTTAACTTTGTACTTGCTTTAAGTCTGCTACAAATAAGGAATACGACCACTGTCTGGTATTAAGTTTCAGTCTGCATTTGTAGTCTCCCTATAGTGACCACTAGGGTTTCAACTCCACATTATCATGTGGGAACTCATTTATTATAACAGAGATGGCAAAACTAGAACATAGACACAAACAGTAGACCTCAAGGCTCATTTGTGGTTTCCCTCTGAGATTTAAAGATTTTTTTAAATAATAGTATGCAAAGAGTTTCAACTTCTTTCTGAATGAGGGGAAAAAACAGCTAAACTGGAGGGATGTGTATCATCAAAATTTATTCAAAATTGAAACAATGCAGTTGCATTGCTAACAAATAGTTGATATTTGAAGCTTGGAACACACCAAAACACACACACACAGTTGGAAGAGGGGTGTAAACCTAAACAGCACAGTTTCCTATCTTGTTTTTAATCTTCTATTTTAAACTCCAAGCACTGCGAAAGACCAAAACTGGCCTACTTTAATATAAAACAGTCCTTTAGAAGTAGAAAATGTAATAAAGATAGGTTTCCTAAAATCAAATCTTAGGGAGAAGAAAAATGTTGGCCTTTGACTAAGGTTACTAGCAGAATCCATACTTGAATTACAAATTAAAAGCACTTGGAAAATATCTGGTTTTCTATTATACTATTTTATGTAAATCTGTTGCATCTTGTTTCAAAAAAATGATGAAATAAAAACTACATAGCACAATTTTATAAATGTTTTATGTCTTATGGTAAGTGTCAATTTACCATTTATCAACTGAAAATTAATCATAGTTCCCTTGGAACATGGGATTGAGGGAGTTACAAAGAATTCTAAAATTTCCTCTGCTCTGTTATGAGTCTTGGTTGCTATTCTGCAAAGTTAAATTGATACAATTGCTGTGGATTTTGCTTATTAAAGACTTTGTATTACAATCCTGCAGAGTGAAGAATCTTGAAGAAAGGCAGATCAACAGTCAAGGGACCAGATGTCTGGAAGCCTCCAGAGAAAGATGTAGTCAGTGAACTTTGTTAGCATAATTAAGTCATCACTGACTACCTAAACTAATTTCATGAACACCATCAAAAGACCAATTAGAATAGTAATTTATACATTATAGTGCTGAGAATGGGGAAGATACAAATCTTGTCAATTAGACTGATATTATTAAATAGCTCTTTAGAAAGAGACATTAGAATCAAAAGCAGTAAAATAAAATAGATTTCTGGGCTCCAGCCAGAAGTAGTTTGGACAAGTCTAATAAACTCTCTAGGGAGTCAACAGTTTTCTTCTCAGAAGTCAGAGTACAGGCGAGATCAGGGATCAGTAAACTCTACCCCATGGGTGGAATCCAGCCTGCAGCCAGTTTTTGTAAAGAATGTTTTGTTGGACACATTCCTTTACATACTGTCTGTGACTGCTTTTGTGATACAACAGTAGAATTGAGTATCTGAACAAACTGTATTAGTGGCAAAGCCAAAATATTTCCTGTATGCCCTCTCCAGAAAGATTTACAACTTCTGGAATAATTGATAATGAAGGTTTGGTTCAGCACTGGATTGTATCATACTAAAGGGAAAATCTACATCTTTTTCTACAACTAGAAGCTGTTTGTGACTGGGAGTCAGAAAGCCTGGGTTCAAGTTCTAGCTTCTCAGTTTGCTAGTTACTTTCTGAGTTTGAGTGAATTTTCTTGCTATAAAATGGAGATGATTATTTCAGGCTGATCTGGGCAGGGTTAAGTCAGAAAAATGTAATTGGATAATGTGTAGAAAAACACTAAGGTAACCTAAATACATTGTTAAGATTCTCATATATTATTATCCTGAACAGTTATAAAATGAATAAAAATATTAATCCAATTTACTTAATCCAACTATGCTGGGAAACATAAAAACATTAATTTTATATTTCCAAAGAAAAATCAACATATTAAAGTAAGATATTCTTAATTTAAAATCTAAAGAAGAATGGACAGGCAAACTTTGGCCTCGAGTTGAGCGATTGCTTTATAATAGACTAGTTGTGTGACTCAGGTAGATCTTAATTCCATCAGAGATTCATTATTTGACAGGTGAAAACTGGAAGCTGGATTAGGTTATGAAAATAATTTTTCAGCTTAAACTTATATATTAATATCTGGATTTTGAAATTTTGATTTGTCATTGCCAACTATTCATAGGAACATTTTTTTCTACCTGCCTTTCTTTAATCCCCACTCCGCCCCTATCTCTAACCAGTTGCCAGTTTCCACAGGTACTCTGCGGTGCCCCCGAGACGCCCTCTTTCTCACTGGCCATGTCCTCTGTGCTTCTTTGAATGAACGCAGCAGCTTCACAAGCTGTGCTTAGGTTTTCAGTCATGCCCTTCTCCAATTCATCCTCCACTCTATCATCATTTTAATCCCACTAAAGTTGGGGTCCCATTATGATGTTGGTGGCTTTAAGTCCAACTCAGTGTACATTTCTGAGCCTGTGCATCAGGTTCTAGGTTGGGACCTCCCTTTGGCTGCCTCACTTTCACTGTGTCCGAGTCTTCATAGCACTCATCCCGACTCCTGCTGTCGTGTCCTGACAAAGGCTCCAGTCTGAGGATTCCTCTCTTCAGGGTGCACATCATTCTACCTGAGATTCCACTTTCCCCTTCTCTGTTTTTGGAAACTCTTCACATCTCTCAAGGTCTAAATTAAATGCTACCCTTTCTTCAGTCATGCTTGGATCGCCCAGTAAGATCTGAGCCCTGTTATCTCTGCAAGTCCATGACAAGATATATCTTGCTTTCTTCAGTTAATTTTCAGTTTGCCTACTATATTACTAGGCCTTGCCCTTGCTATATGTTAGTAAGATTCTTGATGGCAAAGATTTCTTTCACACACCAGAAAGATGCATATATTTTAATGAAATAAAAGATTTTTCTACAAAGTAA